GAACCTTTTTAAGTGTATGTTAACTTGAGCAGTTACTTTCTGTCCTGTATAATAAGCGATACATATTGTGGATGCAAACACCTTCAAATTAAAGCTGACAATCAGCACTTTACCCCCATAGTGATTGTGTGTTTATTTCAAATTTTATGTGCTAGAGCCAACACAGCAGGAGGGTGTCTCTCTCCTAACACTTTGTGACTGCACTGTATCCCAGTGTGAATCTACACTCGTTAGCTATGTTTGATAGCTTCATTAAAATATACCCTTTTGTTTCTTGGTTTTTAGTAGGGTTTTGCACTGTTATATATTGTTCTGTTTAAAGTCCATTAAGAGAGTAGTTGTGGGAGTCGTTGCAGGAATGTTGGATGCAAACTGGTCAGACATCTCCAGCATGAACAAAGTACTGAAGTTCAAAGACAATAGCAGCATTTTAAAGCAATGGTCACCCTGCAAACGCAAATACACAAACAATCAGAAATAGATTAAGCGTAATATAAATAAATATAAAAATATGCTGCAGTCGCTACCCTCTACACCATGTTGTCTAATTTCCTTCAGTGTTCTACAAAAGTTAATGTACTCGTCTTTTTTGCAGGAAGTCCGTTGCAGAAGCAGAACAAGAGCCCAACACAAGACCATCTGATGGCAAAGGGGTCACACAGCCCGGTATGTCAAAGCATGGCAGCACTGCAGAGAAGGGTGTAGACTGGTGTAGAGTTGGAAAGACTGTGACACGTGTTTTTCTAAGAAAGATTAAATGCATTTTAGTCTTCCAGTAGCACATGAACTGGGTTGGGTTTGGGCAGATTAAGTTCTGTGTAACTGTTGATGACTTTTCTTTTTATTTGTTGTTTTTCTCTTTCTCTCATCAGCAGCACAGTGCTCCACACACACAGGAACAAGTGTAAAAGGTACCGGAGCCTCCAAAACAGTTAGTTCAAGTTCAGCAGCCAAAACACTAAAGAGCAATGGTTCACCATCAGATGGGCAAGAAGACAAAGAAAATAACACTCCTCCGAAAGATAGAAGTAACGCCAAGATGGTGCTAGTGTCATCTGGATTAGGCCCCAATGAACAGGTGCCCATTCACCCATTCAGCCAGTAAATGTGTTTATCTAGCTCTTTCTATAGTAGGATGCATTAACCAATCAGATGTTTTCGCCTGTAGATTGTGGTGAAAAAGTTTGCCAAGCGAGTCGGTGCCCGTGTGGTCTCCCAAGTAATGCCAGAGGTGACCCACATCATAATGCACACAGGTAAGTCTGCTTGCAGGCAGTGCGTGTGTATAACACTGTTCAGTTAGCAGAGACTCTATGATGACTCTATCATTATAAGTGTAGTGGCTTTCAATTCATGGTTGATACACAGAAGAGCAATTAAATCAGCTATTGAAAAATCCACTTTCAATCTCACTAAATATTTTCTTAAGCAGGAACATTTGCATTTCCTGAAGTACATTTTTCTTTTCACATGTAGTTACAGCTTGTTTTGTGCGTCTTTTGAAAGAGCTCCTTAGAGATAAGCTCTCTGTTTCTCTCTCACCCACTCACTCTCTCCTCCATTCATCCGCTTGTTGCTAATTACCCTCTCTGATAGATTATTTTTAATTTCAGAGCTTGCTGTCTCCAAAGCACCATATTAACTGTCACTGTTTAAGAAGCCTTTTTCCTTTTTTTTTTTTTTTTTAATGGCAGCTGTTTCCCGGGTAACCAAAAAATGGGAACGCTCGGCCTCTTGATGTTTGTGGTTTAAAGGTTGGAAAGGTGTCCCATTCTGACCATTAGCAGCATATACTAATCATTTGAAATGGAGTTATGTTTAAGGGGTGTCAATAATTTGCACTTCACTCTTGCCTAGATAATTAATATCTTTTTTTGAAGGAAGAATAACCCCTGACCCTGCTGATCAACCATGATTTTATTCCTGTGAAAGCTATTCACTGTTCATTCGAACTGTTGGCACAGTGCCTAGTGAAAATACTGCAATTCAAATGTCATTTCTACTGAGAAGACATTGTTCTCTGTATTCATTTTTCTGATAATATGGAAATTAAAAATGATAGAGAGATTTGTCAACATGTGATTTTTAGGCTTACTGGTTGTATCGTAAAGATTAATTTTGTATTTGTGGTAACTACAAAGTAACTTAAATGCAATTGTTTCAACTTTTGAGGAATCTGTATCACTGCAAAGATTGTTGCTGGAAGAAGCATATAGTTATTTATATGTTGGACAGTTTGAATGAACAGCGAATAGCTTCACAGGCATAATACCTTAACACCAGGATTTACAAAAGTAATTAAAATTTAAGCAGCATAAATGATAACATAGTAAAAAAGTAATTTCTGGGAAGAGTGGGCACTAGTTATAGTCATATATTGTGCTTTATTTTGCATCGCATTAAAGCTTTCAGCATGAGCACACAGGTAGTCTTTTGCTACATATATTGTCTGTTTGTATGTACACCTCATAGTATGTGTGTTTATTTACGTACAATCTTGCACATCTTTTCACACATCTCTGTTTCTTCTCACTTCTCTGCCAGATGAACAACTGGTGTGCGAGCGCACGCTGAAGTACTTCCTTGGCATTGCAGGCAGGAAGTGGGTGGTGAGCTTCCAGTGTAAGTCCTGACTCCCTTTATCATCAAGCTCCATCACTGATGGGTTTACAACAATTTAATACTAAATACAAAACCGCATGATGTGGAGGGATAGGATGGAATAAAAGTGTTACATAATACAGTAACCATCAGCACAGTGTTTGTGCTTCTGACAATAGGCTCTTAAGTTTTTGTTCTTATTTCCTCTCCGCAGGGATTTCAGAGTGCTTCAAAAAAATGAAACTCTTAGATGAGGTATGCTCGTCTGTGTGCTCCTTGAATTTGCACGGTGCTGATTTCCTGTTACTTGTCTTCATGTCTCAATGTTGAATTAAGGCTGCATGATGAATCTCTCCATGCGGTTCACTGTGATACCTCATAAATTATTTGTCATCCATTTGCTTTAGCAATTCCCGCATCTGGTTCTATGCTATGCAAGTATAGTCCCTTTGCCAAGCTTTGTTTAATATCCCCATTAATTTAAAACCATTTCTCCATCGTCCAGGCTAGTTTAGAAGCATTTGTATGTATCATATAGTGTATGTAGAGATGGACTCCATACAATTATAAGATGAGTTCTGTCAAACTGAAGAATGTTTAGTGTACTTTTAGGAGCGCATCTGACCCTTGAAATAAATCAAATAATATTAGCTGTCTGTCAGCAGTCCTTTTATCAGATAAGAGCAAATAATTGTATTGTTTATTTAAAAGCTAATAGCGACAAGAAAGGTTTTATACCATTGTGATTTAGGTTCACATACTTGATGCACATATGCCAAAGTCATTTTGCGTTGTCTTCCAACAGTCTCTCTTTGAAGTGAGAGGGGACGTGGTGAATGGACCCAACCACCAGGGCCCCATGAGAGCTCGTACCACTCAAGACAATAACGTGAGTCCCTTACACACTTACACCAGATGGCTGTTATATATTGTTGTTGTTGTTATATATTTGATCTAAATAGCCTCTCAAAGTACAAGTCAGGAGGGAATTGAAGAGTGGCTCTTCTCTTCCACCTGGAGCTGTAATGGTGTGTTCACACCAAACACGAAGCATTACTCGCAGGATCATTTGTTTTTACTTGCACGAGTAAATATTTGCCAATTAATCTGGCTTAGTACAGCAATATGAGCCCAGGATAAACAGATATTGCTATGGATCAACAGATTAAAAGGATGCTGAAACAATTATATCATGATGCTGATTTATAAAAAGTCTAAATCCATACTTTGTCATGTCTGTCTACAAGATGACAAGCAAAGAACTTTTAAAATGCGTGAGTTTGGATCAATCAGGACTATGCTAACATAGTCAAGTAAAACCTATAACTGGAATCAAGTAACAGACACATATTTTCAGAACGTCCAGTTCCAGTTTCCTGGCTTACTTTTCTCCAAGCGATCTCCATTTGGTCCGGTCTCTTTATAGTATCATAGTTCTCTGGGTCCAGCTATCGGTGCATTCATTTAATTTTTATTTTTCATTCATATATTCATAAAACTTGTTTGTCAGAGACCTTGTACAAAAAACATTTATCTCCAGAATTAAAGATTTAGCTACTTGCTCTTTACCATTTGCAGCGTGTCCCTGGGCTGGTAAACTTAATCAGTTGGAGAAAAAGTTTATGTTCTTGTCTGAGTGAAGGATCTGTCATCCCTTTTTGAGTGAACTCGTAATGATATCTGGCGCAGGCTAATTCATCCTTGGTGCAAGAGTCAAGAAAAAAAAAACTGTGGGATGGCATTGCTAGGCTGCTAGGCAAGGCTAGCCCCAGGGTCTGAGACGGCTGTGACCTTAAATAAGAGGCAGCAGCATTTGTTAATGTCAAATTGCAAAAATTAAACTAGCATTTCACTGCAGCTAAAACAAAGTTCGCCTATCCTGTAGGCAGGTAATGTTCTGGATCTATAGGAAAGAGACATTTTTGAAATGATTATTTGCTTCTGAGCCCACTGGACTACCAGGATGCCCCCTTTAAAGACAATGCGGGGAAGCACACTGAAAGCAGGGCTATCAGCCAAAAATAGCAGTACATGCAGTATCTAGTGAAGAGACCTTTCTCTTTCTCACAATATAAAGTTGTACAGTGTGGACTGGTAGCTGGAGAGGTGCCAGTTTCACCTCCGAGGTGCCCTTGAGCAAGGCACGTAATCCCAAAACTTCTCCTGGGGCACTGCTAACGTGGCAGCCCATCACTCCACCATCTCTCTCCATGTCTGCGTGTCCATAAGCCCTGCATGTGCATGATTGTGTGCCTTTCAGCCTGTGTGTATAAAAATAAAAAAAAGTGAAAAAAACTCTCCAATAGGGGATTAATAAAGTAAATCTTAAACTCTTAAATGCATGTAAGCTGCTTGCTCTCAATTTCATTCACCCTTTGGTGAGAAGTCAGCCATTCACTCACTCACTCACTCATGATCTCAACACCTGATACACTGTCAGCAGCAGACATCTGTGTTCCTAAAAGAACCAACTGAACAACGCTCATCTTAAAGGTGCTGTAAGCGAAATTCTGGCTAACTTCCTGTCCATTCTTGTTGTTAGCAGTCCCCTCCCTCCTCCCCCCATCACCACACTGAAATTCTGCTGCCTGCCTTTAAAGACATAGAAAAGATCGCCTCTTTGTGGAGTTCTCTCTCCTGATTGGATAAAGTGGGAACGGGATACAAGAAAATGTATTCTCTGTTTACTGCAGAAAATAGGGACTGGGAGACCCAAGTTACTGACTGAACACTCAGTGATTGTTGTTAGAATGTAGAGCTATTTAACACTTATTTTAACAAAAAAAAATCACTTACAGCACCTTTACCTTTAAGGGAAAGAAAGAAAGAAAACCACAAATCAGTACATTAACTGTTGCTGTTATTGCCAATTACTGCCATCTGTATTGTTTATAAAAGCACAATGTCTGACGACAAAGAATATTCTGATTCTATGAAGAAAATTAAATAAAGTTTTCTAATAACAAGCAGCAATTTAACCGGTTTCTTCCTGTTGCACCAGCCTCTTAGTTCAGGACCTGTTGTAAAAAAGCTAATTGTAATTTTCCTCTTGGTGTCAGGCCAGCAGGACCAGTTCTGTTGCCACTGAGGGGGAAAATTAGAAATGGCTAGATGTCATGTTGGCCGTATCGCTGCCTTTGAAGAACCTCCGCTAATTGAATTAGCTAGTAATTTCAGGCTTATTTAAGTGGCTTCAACACAGCACCGGCACTTTGATGGAGCCAGACAGATTGTCCTGTTCATACTAACCTTCTGTTACCTGCAACCACTGTGACAAACAGACTAACAGATCAAATGAAGTGCCAGGACTCGGGAGTCTGTCACCAGAATGTTGATGCCCAGGAAATCAGAAACTCTGACTGTGTGTGTGTGTATGTGTGTGTGTTTGCATGTTATCACATCACACACTTTAATACCTTCTGAAGGACATTAGGTGTTGTCTAAATTAAAAATCTGTAACAGAAACACTTTTTCATCTCACCAAGCACCTCTGGCTAATGATCATTATGGACAGACAGGGAGGTGTGAGAAATTAGTATTTCTCTCTCCAGCAGCTCGGACATTTATCTTCCAAACACTTTCATCCAGCCACTTCACTGTATATGAGACTGTGATGTGAGTTTCACATTTCCTTTCGGCTGGTTACCATGGTTCAAGGAAACAATTTTACATTCCCATTTCAAGCAAGCTTATTGACCCGGAGTGCAATAAAACAATGTGTCCCCGGTGTCTGGCAAGTCGTTTTTCTTTGCGTGCTTAAAGCGTGATATTACCTCAGTGAAGGTGGCTCTGTTTGCTTTTTTCTGTTCGACTCATCCCTGAATTTACAGTATTACAGCGAGAGCAAAAAGGAGCAAGGTCTTTTACACTGTAAGTGAGAAATACCTGTTATAAATTGTGAAATGTTTTAGCGCTACCAGTAACACAGACAGGTGAAGAGTTCAGAAACATACTCGGATAATAATATTATTGAATATTGTCAGTTAAATTCACTGAATAAAATGTGTTTTTTTGCTCGATTAGAGAATTTTTGCAGAAAACTCACTGTAGATTATTTTGTCCTCACTGTGTCTTCTTTTACTCTTTAGTTGCTCATGAAAGGCTACAAGATCTGCTTCCAAGGGCATTTTACAGACATGACTACAGGTAAATCACATCAGCAACATGACATGTGCAAGCAGTGTCCAGTCAGCATGTAAAGTATGGATCTCAGTGTTCATATTTACATATTTACATGCTTAGCAGAGATTTCATGCAGTTTTTTTTTCTCTTGTATTTCATTTACCTGCTGGCATGTGTTATTTGTTGAATATGGCACCATATAACGTATGTAATGAGAGACTAGCTAAGGTTGCTCATTGTGCTTCAATATAATCAGATATATCATAAAATATGTCTGTCATGCACTTTATAGCTATCTCTAATTACTTTTTCTGTTTGCCTGTAGTTTTCTTGCTTATCTGAGAAACACACACACTCACCTAAGTAATGTTTCTGACAACCACAAAAAAACACAACACGTTTATTTGCATATGTTGTCAAAGGAAAAAAAACGACTGTGTTATTTCACTGGAACTGTTGCTTTTTTCCAGCAGCCGTCATGTTGTTTGCACTGTTCAGTTTTCTCAATCAAGAAATACTTTGCTCAACCACATTTCTCATTTTTCAGTGCTTTTGATGTCAATGTCCTGCAGGATTTTGGTAGACACCCACCTTGCTTTACAGAGACGACAAACAATAACAATAAAAGGACAGTTAATGTATCTCACACAGATTTCAAAACAACTTAAAAACTGTGTGTGTTATTTAACCCCTGTCCTTTCAGCACTGGAGAACAATGACAAGTACCTCCAGAGTGTGGGTGGATTGAATATGGACTTAGGAGATTTTTGCTGTGATGTTGTCATGTTGCACAGCGGTTGCTATGTCGTCAGTATAGCTGCTTGGATTTTTCTGTGAAGAAAATAGAAATGAGCCCTCAGTCGTGGCCAAAGGGCTTTTGCTGCTCTCAAAGATAACCTGGTCTCGCAGTATCTTGCAACACTAGTTTGGCATCTTTGCTCCTTATGATTTAAACTGTTAATGATCTCCAAGTTCAATGTAGAAAGGAGTTTTAGTTGCCCTTTATGCAACACTTTTTTTTGGATTTACCCTTCCAACATTTGACATTGACAGATAGATCATGGGTGAAGGTCTCAGGGGGCACATTGCTTAAAAACCCACCAGGCAGCATTCTTCAGTTCCCTTCTTCCTGGGGCTCTTAAAGTGCTCCTGCAGCATCCTCCCGCTGCCTGCTGGATCGATGAAGCATTGCTAATGGCTCGACATCTGCTAGCTTGCGTGAGGAGTTTAAAGACTTTCTTTAACATAGCATAAACATGAGGATGAAGTCTGTTTTCTTTTGCCCACCCATCCATTATTTAATTGCTCACATTTGTGCATGTTAAGTGATGAGGTTATCTACAGCATATACTGCAAGTTGATTGTTTGTTCTCTTTTTAACGGCAACAAGCAAGGGAACCTGTCAATTTGGATTGTTTTAAGGCTTGTCTGATGTATGTTGAATTATAAACAGATTTTTTTCTAAACCACGTTAAATGTCTGTTGACTGATTGACTGAGATGCACATATTGATTTGAGGGGAGACTTAAGTATTGACCTGTTTTCCATCCCAGCAAACAAAGGAAGTCTGAGCTTGAAATGAGTCTGCTCAGTATCCCCTTGGGGGACAGAGAGGTGAAAGCAGTGAGAATTGCATTAAGGTGTGACCAAAAATACTTCATCAAACAGGGCTTCCCCAAAACAGTAAACATTTGTGTGTGCGTGTGTTTATTGCAGACGAAATGGAGTGGATGGTGGAGCTCTGTGGAGCAGCTGTAGTCAAAGATCCACTTCTCCTCGACAACACTCAGGTAAGAGTGTCCACACTCCCCTACTTGGAAAAAAATAAAATGAAAAATATCAGTTATTGTGCCACGCTGCATTCCCATTGGTCGGTGTCATTTAAATAATGCTGAAATGCACAGATAATTGTTTTTAAATCAGATCAGTGGTGAGAGTTTGTGGATGAGGAATTTACAGAAATAACAGAAGGAGATCTGTCTCCTTGATACTCTTTTATTATTTGATTAAAGGCTTTAACCATGATAGCAGCAGGGCTATGGGGATGGCAATGTTGGCCTGGCTGCTGCTCCACCACTTTGGTCCAAACTGAAATCTGAAAACGAATTGCCATTAACTTTTTGGACACACATTCCTATGATTCATATATTACAAGCAATATAAGTAAACTGTTACCTACAGGGACTGCGTGGCAGTCAATAAAATGCATGCCTCCCCCACTAACCAATTATTTGACTCACAAAGCTGCAGCCTTCACAACAGTTAATGCTTAATGTTTGTCTCCTGGTTGGATTTCATTTTTGAATGAAAGCCAGCTAGTTTCAGCCAAGAAACTTTATGTTGCTAATAGATAATCCGACAAGCAGAAGGGAAAAGATCATTTCCTTCCTATTTGGCTGGCTGTAAAATTGGCTATATGTGTTCTACTTATTGATGATTTTGTATTTCTAAATTAGACATAATTTTCTATCATTTTGTTGCACAGAAGTCGCATCAGCTGGTCATTGTACAGCCTGGATCAGATTCGTCATCGTCTACATACAGCAGTGAGTCTCATCTGAAAATAAAAATGTCATTATTACCTGCTGCTTTTATAACACACTTTCAATCTTCATTCTCTCTCACTCACATACAGAGTTCATAAAGATAGCAATTAGACTGACAGAAACTGCGGGAACTGATTACATAATTCATACATGACATAACCCCTGGGGGTTCGAGCCGGGCACAAGCATAGACCTGTGGAAAGTCAGACAGTGTTGGACTAAATGCAAAAACGTATTAATATTATGATATACAACATTTCATTGGTTGTCAGTAAATCTTGATAAAATATAATTGTTTTCTCTTCATAGTCTTAACATTTCAGTCATCCCTGAGGCGGTTGCTAGCATGAGTTAAGTAAGTTTACAGAGAAAATTAGTTTATATTGAGAATACATGAAATGCGAAGATTTTCTTTAAAGAGAAGTGATAACACATGATGAGGTATTACATCACAGGGGAATAACAGATAAGAGCAGATTTCCATGATACAACATTAGCATTCGTGTCACCAAGTCTATTGTTTTTCTGTCTCTTGAGAAGGCACCAACCAAAGAGCTAGCTATTTTTAATTAATTCAAGGCTAATAATTGAGGCAATTTATTGAAGACCTAGCTAGAGCATGAGAGTATGCAAATGGGCGTTACTTAGTTTGTTATTTTCTCCTTTTTATAGTGTTTTCTGTCACGAAGGAAATAAATAAACTAAACATTCGTCATCATTTAATAATAATAATAATAA